CAGTAACATGTATTGACATTTTTATAAACTAACTTTACATTTTACAGCCAGCTGACAGAAGCAGGAATTTCCAGCAAGAATGTGTCCTTGAAGAGTGTCTTGCAGCATATTGAAGCCACACCAAAAATTGTCCACTATGCAATCCTGGGCATACAGAAATGGAATAGCAAGCTGACGTCTCAGAGCCTAAAGACTCCATTCTCAAGATGTCATGTGCATGATTTCATTCTCCTCAATATAGACCTGACTCAAAATGTACAGTATGACTTCAACAGGTAGGTTAGTCCTCATGGATGCCGGTCATCGTGGCGTCTGCCAATGGATGCTGTCCACTTCAGCCTCTGCCTTGAATCGCCAAGCCCCTTTCAGCTAACTCCCCTGGCCCAGAACTCATTATGTGACACAGGCTGGCCTCACACTTGTGACCCTCCTGAGTGCTGGGATCACAGGTGTGTGTCACCTAGCATGACCTAGACTTGATACTGGAATGTAAAATGATCAGAAAACACAGGTTAGCCACCTGATTATTCAATAAACTGTTGAATTAATACTGATCCATGTGTGGACCTATGAATGTCCAATATTAACCCCATATTCATCCTCAGAACTAAGGAGGAAACTACTCTCTCCAGTGTTGTAAGACCCACAGCTCCTCCTATAGTGAGAAGGCAGCAGTCAGGCCTCTTGAACTGATCATACCCACATTCCTGAGAAATCTGAAATGGTCAAGGAATGGTATCAGAAACCATAAAGTCTTTTTTTTGGGGGGGAGGGGGTCAAAACAGGGTTTCTCTGTAGCTTTGGAGCCTGTCCTGGAAGTAACTCTTTTTGACCATGTTGGCCTCGAACTCAGAGATCAGCCTGCCTCTGCCTCCCAAGTGCCATCACTGCCCAGCAGAAACCATGAAGTCTTGATATTCACCCCCAACCTGTAGCTATTAGAATACCCACTGCTTCCGTGCTTCATCCTGTATGTGACCAGAACTGCAAATCACAAGACCTCTGGCTCTCCTGACCACAGGATGTATAGCCCTGTATCTGACAGGAACAACCTAAACCCTGTGGCCTAACAGAAGCAAGCCCTCCTTCCTTTAAAGCTTATGATGCCAGATCAGTAGAGTGTGGGCCAGCTCTTCTGGGACAAGGTGATGTTTCAGGCCCTCCCCTAATGTCTGCCATGCATTTTTCTGTTTAGTTATCATAGTTGAGATGTGGTTCTGATTTAGGTATTTCTGTGAAGATGTTGACTTTAACCTGAGAACAAACAGCAGTGGCCTGCTTATCTGCCGCTTTAATAACTTCAGTCTCATGAAGAAGCATGTTCAGGTTGGAGGGCAAAGGGACTTTATCATTAAACCAAAGATCATGGTAAGTTCTATACAGCTTGATTCTACTGTTGAAAACAAGCAGAAATGTTCTTATAAATGACTCTGTCATTAAAGTACTGGCACATAACTAGCTTTTTTGCTGCACTAGAAAGGGAAGTAACCCGAGTCCTCAGCATCAGCTGTGTAGGGAAGTCCCAGAGTTAAGCCTTAAATATTCCAAAGCTCTATTGTTTGTTTTCCACCTGTCTCTGCTTCCTGAGTGCTGGGATTAAAGTGTGGGCCCAGCTGCAAAGCTTTTTCAAGACAACCTTTATGTAACCCAGGAGAAAAATACAAATGCAAATACTCGTCTGGTCCTGTGTGTGCGCGCGCGCATTTTTTTTAAAGATGTAAAGAAAATATTACAGCTCAAAGCTTATAAAGAAAATTCTTTACTCCCTTCCCAGGGGGGCTTGCTGCTAGCTGATGACTATAGCTGAGGAACTCCTGCCTTTTGTTGTTGAGCAGGACAGGAGCCAGCCCAGACACGCGGAGCAGAACTCTAAAGACTTCCCTTTGGGCCCACCAACATATTTATTAAATACAGTAACATTTCAAAAATTCTTGCTTTAACTTAAATAACATTGGACTATTCTTCAAGTGGGAGAAGGGGGAATGAGGAACAAAATGAGACATAACACATCAGGCCACCGCTGTAATACAGCAATTCCTCTTCAGTTGCTAGTTTTTGTAATTTTTTATTTGTATGTATGAATTTATTGCCTGCCTACATGTATGTATGTGCACTGTGTGTTTATCTGGTGTCTGTGGAGGCCAGAAGAGGGTATTGGATCCCCTGGATTTAGAGTTACAGTGGTTTTGAGCCTCCATATGGTTGCTGGGAACCAAATCTTGGTCCTCTCTCTCAAGTGACCACACTTACGTATTATTTGCCTAATTTAGAAATTATAATGTATTTATGTATGTGCAAACATTCATTTAGGGTTCAGCGCTAAGTGTAATTTCAAGTATCCTTTGGGGGTGCTGTATATGGAAGTTATTAGGATGCAATCCATTGTAATCTTAGACATTTCATCCACTGACAGGCACATTTCCCATGACCATCTGATTTCAGGTTTCAGAGAGCTTAGCTCCCATCTTGCCCCTTCAGTACGTCTGTGCACCCGACAGTGAACACACGCTACTGGCAGCCCCTGCACAGTTCCTTCTGGAGAAGTTCCTTCAACATGCCTCATATAAACTCTTCCCCAAAGCCATTCATAACTTCAAGAGTCCTGTACTGGCCATTGACTGCTACCTTAACATTGGACAGGAGGTAAAGGGGGGGACACATCCATTTCTTCCCCATTTTAGTTCCATTGAAAACATAGATGGTTCTAAAAGAGCCAATGACAGTATGATCCAAAGGGTCCCACAAGAACAGAATTTGCCAGTAGCTCATCATTTCCTCTGATGTCAGCTGCTCTGGAGCCTGCCCTGGTGGTGTGAACAGAAGCAGCCACTTGCTCATTTAAACATTGACAAGACTTTGTTGTCATGTGGATTTTCTCGAGATTCTCTTCTTGAAAAGCACACAGTATCTTAGCATATGTGAGAGCAGCTCAGCGATTTCTGATAAATAAGTACAAGCTATGAGCCCCTTTACAGCTGCCATTTCTCCTCTTCCCATTCTCAAGTCCCTCATCAGTTTTCGTCTAGTTTGTTAGTTGTCATTTGCATCTCCATGTTTCTGCCACTAAGCCTTTCCTTCGCATTATCTTGAGAGTCCATTTCATTAACTTCAATAATGTAATATATCCTTATATATTATGCAATATATCCTTATATATATTATATATCCATATATATCCTTATATATGAATTTTTTAAAACAAAAACCAGCCTAGTTGGCAGGATGGTATGTCTCAGTGGGTAAAGGGACCAGCTGCCAATCCTTACAACTCAATCCCTGAACCCAGATGGTGCAGAGAACCAACTCCATACACAAACTCTTTCAAGTTCTAGTGCATTCAGTTTTGGAAACTAAATTTAACTTTCTGTTAATAATCCTTGCTGTGGGTTACACCATTAATTTTATAAACAGAAACTTTAAAATCAGATGGTATCTGAGCATGGAGGCACATGTCTGTAAACCCAGCATTCCAGAAGCTAGCCTGGGATATAGAGTGAGATTCTGCCTTAAAACACAAAGAACTAACCACGTGTCAATACAATCTCAATACCAATAGCAGCTAATATTTGCTGAGTACTGAACAGACTATATTAACGATTCAAAAGTACTCCTATGCAACAGGTTTTCTTACCTATGTAAATGAGGAACTGTACAATGCCATATGACTTCCAACTGAAGGAACCAGTGCTTGAATTCAAGTGTAGCTACCCCATTGTTCTCTTTTCTAGCCTGCTGCTTTCCTGTAATGTTTGTGGTTATCACCTATCATGGAAGCTGCATGGACCTAGAAATTAACTCATGCTGTTTAAAGCTTCTTTCAGAGTGAAATATATTTACTCTTTCCTATGCATGTTTTTTTACAGAATGTGGTATTGTTTTGTTTTACTATTTATGTATATGGGCATATGGGCATTTTATCTCCATGTGCATAAATACATGTCTGGTGCCTATGGAGGCCAAGAGAGGATGCAAGATCCCTTGAGACTGAAGTCACAGATGACTGTGTGCTGCCAATGTGGATGCTTGGGGTCAAACCAGGGGCCTCTGGAAGAGCAGTCAGTGCTCTTAACTCTCTGGCCCCAGAATGTAGGGTTTTTTAAAAATTTACACACACACACATTTCTGTCAGAAGAATGATTAATTTAATATAACATATATATAATATATAATGAGAGATTTAAAAATATTGAAACTTAGCCGGGCAGTGGTGGAGCACGCCTTTAATCCCAGCACTTGGGAGGCAGAGGTAGGCGGATCTCTGTGAGTTTGAGGAAAGCCTGGTCTACAAGAGCTAGTTCCAGGACAGGCTCCAAAGCTACAGAAAAACCATGTCTCAAAAAACCACACACACACACACACACAAAATTGAAACTTTATTACTAAATAAGTACAAAGTGTAAATAATCAACAACTTATATTGAGGAAGTGTGGCTCTCACCTTACATCCCAACTGAAGAGGAAGGCACTGACTACAGTGTTCCTCAACAAAAGGACAGTCCTCTATTGCTTTTGAAACGTCTTTGGTTTTTATTTGTTTGTTTCAGGTAGCCATATGCTATGTCAGCTCCAGACCCCATTCCAGCAATATCAACTGTGAAGGGGTGTTTTTCAGTGGACTTCTCTTGTACCTCTGTGACTCTTTTGTAGGTGCCGATCTTCTCAAGAAATTCAAGTTTCTAAAAGGTAAGTCAAATTCAGTGTCTTGAATGTGAATGCTATTGTCACTAGAAGAAAAAAATCAAGAGTTGAATGGCACACAAGCAAGCAAAGCTTTGGCCAAAGTTTGAATACTTTGATTCTAAACCAGGGATACTGATAATATTGGGGTAAGATCTGTAATACAAAAAGATTTCTTATGTGTATGTATGTGTGCAAGTGCCTGCAGAGGCCAGAAGGTATCCAATGTCCTGGAACTTAAGGTTGTTAGCCATCTGACTGGGTGCTGGGGATTGAACTTGGGTTCTCTGCAAGCAGTAGAAAGGCTCTTAACCACTGAGCTCTCTTATCTGTGACTTCTTAAACAGGCTTTTACCATTACTTACTTCAGAAATATGTTTCTGGTATCTAAGCTAGATACCAGACAGAAGCTAAACTCTACCTATATATGTTTGTAAGCAGTATATGCACTCTAAAGTCATTTGATTGGGTCAGAAATCAACAGCAGAAAAATTGCATAATTGTACCCCCCAGACATACTCTTAGCTATGAGGCTGTCACAGACACTAAAGTTGTCTTATTAGGTTCAACTTACTTAAGAATATCTACAAATCCAGGACCACAAATCATCCTTAGAAAATGACCTGAGGTCAGTGATAGAAGACACTCAGTATACTGTATGCACCATGAAAGTGGGGAGCTAGCTCTGAGTGTATGTGTAAGAGTGTGTAGCAGTGGTTCTTAGGTAGAGAAAGGGTATGTGCCTGAAGAGGTTGTTGGTTGTCACTGTAAGTCTCAGCAGATAGTAAGCTGGCTCCACTGCACAGACTCAGCAAACAATGGTTTTGTCAGTCACTATGAGAGAGGAGGCTGAGGCTGAAGGAAAGCTCCTTCTAACATCACTTTAAGCTCCTTGACACTTTTGCAAAACTACTTGGAATAGAATATCTACCTGTATGTTGGTTCTCAAATGTGGTTATCATTCTTATCAATTTAATGTCTGCTCCTCCTGAAGGTGCTACTTTGTGCGTCATCTGCCAAGACAGAAGCTCCTTACGGCAAACAATTGTTCGCTTAGAGCTGGAGGATGAGTGGCAGTTTCGCCTCCGGGATGAGTTTCAAACTGCTAACAGCAGTGATGATAAGCCTCTCTACTTTCTTACTGGACGGCATGTATGAGTTGTTGAAGAGACCAAAAACAACAAACTGATCCCTAGATGGAGTGGGACAACAATTATTGGGGATTTTATTTTTTCCTTTAAAGTACAATCACTGTGGAGCAAAGTGCAACATATTTATCTCTTCTCCAAAGAGCTCCCCAAATGTGACCAAGGTCTTCTTTGGGGCACTGTCCTTCTTTAGTTCTGCTGACAGGACCCAGATTCAGGTCAATGCCACAGTGGGCAGTTATGCAATTACACAGGATGTGCTCTGCTGTGGGAGCCTGAGGATATATTCTGGAGAAAAAACATGGAGTATGCATTGTTTTTCCTACTACATTATGTTGGGGGGCAGGGGGCCGACCGTCAGCATTAGCCAGCTTGAATGTGTTACATGAGACTCACACCACTGGTGTGGAATTAATTGAAGATTAACACTTGAGGCCTGAACCCTCAGTTTCTCTTCAGTTCTGTACCTTGGTACAGTATTACTCAGGGGTCTGAAATGATAGAATGTAGAAGATATTTGTATTTAAAAAGAAATAGCTTTGTCTTTCTCTGTGCAGTGTTAGTTTAAGATTTATAATCTTATATATATCGAAACCTTTGGCAAAATTTCCACAGGAGTTAAAAGTTTACTATTTAAACGGAACAAAGAATCAGTACATGCAGAGCAGGCATTAGGTGCATTCATGAGGGTTCTCGGAGCTTGAGCCCTTTGCCTTGCCCATTCCAGTCTTTAAGCACACCACATTTATAAGAATGCAGAACAGTGATTTGTACAAGAAACTATGTGGACGAATTAGCATTCTGCAGTTATGCTCTATCACTGTGTTTCAATTGAAAGGAAGGAGTTGGCACCTAGAAACTCACACAACAGGCTGGGATTTATTGTGGATTTGAACTAGTGGATTGCTGTGACTTAGGCTAAGCATCCTTTAAAAGACTTAACCAGTAACAGCTGTCTTACAGTGACACACAAAAATGGGTGGAAATGGGAAACAGAACTATAGACACGTTTTCCTTAATTTTATCAGTGACATTTTTCCTGAGGAGTAAGGAAGACTCCACAAAGCGCCTTTTGAACTCATTAAAATTAGTGGGTAGTGTATGACTAATATCAACAGTAGGGGGTATAAGTTTCTATGGATTTCTCATCAAATATTTTAATCAGAAACATTTTGAGAAAATATCTCACAGTAATCTACTGAAGTTTACATGTAAATTGCTCTACTTCATGGTACCTTTGAGTTTTCTCAGTCCAAGTGTCTGATTTTATCTCCAGTTAAGATGGTCATCTTTCCTTGAATCTGTCTTAGAACCCAAGACTACTGAAAGTCTACTGAGCCTGCACTTATTGCAGTGTTAGCTAAGCTTGGTTATCCAGGAATAAAAGGAGTTTACAGCTAGTGAGAAGATGGAATGGATTAGATGGAAAAGAACGGTTTGCAGCTCTCTTGGATCTAATATAGCTACTTATGAGGTTTTAAATGTATTTTAAATGGATAGTTCCTTTTAACCCCATTTTAAATTGTCCCTCAAGGAGGACCCGCCTTATTATATGCTTATTTCTTAACTTTAATAGAGCAGAATTTTAGCAAAGAGGTATGTTCCAGGGCAGTCTAATTTAGGTATGAATGCATCTAACTTGTTCCTGTTTTGCTGAAAGGGTCCAATGCAGGTAATATCAAGAAAGCCACTGTTTGTGCAATATTTCAATAACACTATGTAGGGTAAATAAAAATACTTGAAATAATTCCACAACTATTGTGCCAGGGGCAGAGGCCTCTTAGGAGTTCTTACTGGCTTTTTCTTTTTGGACTCAGTTACTTTAATGCAGGCACTCCGTGTTAGTTAGAGCTACACTGGAAATTCAAGTGATCATAAACTGTAAACACTATTCCACTCCTCCACGAGAAAAGCCAGAATAGAACCAAAAGACTGTCCATCACTCCAATAACTGACAAGTTTTCATTTACCTGCCTCTTTTTCTCCAAAGCCTAAATAAAGGTTTGGATATTTTAAAGTTACCTTAATCAGTGTAATCCTTTAGTGAATGCTAGGTCCTCTTTAAGGATGGAATTGCACAAGCCCAGACCATCATGACTTGTTAGTGCATGTCTTGGTGTGTTTGATTTTACCCTCTTCCATCCCTGAGGACAGTGAGTTAGGTCAAATAGATTAAGTCACATGGTAATGTACCTGCAGACCTGCTGAACTTTGGCATGCATGACAGTTCACACAGGTTAATATTGAATGTAACCTAAAAAAAATTAGAAAAACTGTAGTCAAGTGTTGGCTGTAATTTATGCAACTGCTTCTTGTGATTTTTAGAAAAGGGGGCACCCGTGTTACTTTGTTACTGTAAAATTTTCTTAACGAAAATTTGGTGAATTTCACTCACTAGTCAGTCTACCTCACATTTTGTTTATGACGCTGTGTCTACAGTATGTTGTTGTTCTTTCATTTGGTGAATGTATTAAAATTCCCTCCCACTCCTCATTCACTAAAGTTTGTTTTCTTTAACCCAATTTTCCCTAAGTTAAAAGGTGACATGAGCTGTGACTCTGGCAATGTCTGGTATTGTACTGTGGGTGGCTCAGAGAGTCTACTATCTTGGCACAATCCAAGAAAACACTAAGTAAATAGTTGGATGAAATCTACAGCTTACCTAAAGCAGTTATATACACCAAAATCTCTACTGGAAAAATGCAGACTGCTACATAATTATAGATGACAGACCTATATAGAAGGCAACTATATTTACTTTTGTGGCCTCAAACAGTTCTGGGTCACTGGTCACATTTATTATTAATCATTTATTATTAATTTTGGATTTATTTCTAAATTCCACCTACTTTTACCAACTCTTAGGGGACAAAAGGCCTTCTAGCTCTAATAAAGAACATTTATAGTAATAGAATTTGAAACAAAACCACTCATCTAGGCCAAAGCAATAACTATTTTCATGTCTGCTGACAGACAGGGAAGCAAGCTTCCACTACCTGTTCAAAAGTAACTGGCCTAGAAAAACCAACAACATACCAATTGCTAAAGTCCTGGAAGCCATAAGAAGGAAGGAGGTATATGTGAATCACTACGGTGGAAATTGAGTCAGCGATCTTTTTTTTTTTCTTTTTTTGACACAGGGTTTCTCTGAGTAACAGGCTGTCCTGGAACTCGTTTTGTAGACCAAGCGGGCCTTGAACTCACAAAGATCTGTTTGTCTCTGCTTCCTATGCGCCACTACCACCCAGACAACTCAGCAATTTTAACTCTGTGAACTGAAGTTGTGTTTCTACACAACTGGTCAACCAAGCCAGGCAAACAAGAACCACTAAAACATCACAGTAGTGTGGAACTGTGTTCATGCTTTTGGTAATTGTAGAGTTCACACTCATTATCAAGTTGATTAATTACTCTGCTTTCTCCAATCCTTGCTCAAGAAACCATCCATACAAGGCAGGCATACCCATCAAAACCCGTGGTTCCTACAATATGCTAGTTATCTTTTTGGACCAACAAGTAACAAACATCTGTATAATCAGCAATTATATAAACTACTGAAGTCTGCAAGTGGTCACTGGCTGTGCTGTGACTGCTGCCTCCCACACCCCACAGATGCTTTGTTGCTAGCATCACAGAGACTCCCTTCTTCCCAAAGGTGGTGAAGACAGTGGTGACCTTCTAGAGTGTCTGTGACTGTTTCCATGGTTTCCATCACCACTCTCTTCTGACTCTCTCGTGGTTTATGCTGTTTCAGATTCTCTCGAATGATGGGTATGCCTTGCTAGTTCCCTTTTTCTACACCAGGATAGTTTCATATAAACCTCCAAATAACAGCTTAAGCCCAAACCTCTATCAAACTCCAAAGCCACATAGACAACTAACTATGAAGGCGGTAATTCCGCTTGCAAATTCTATAACCACTTTAAACTTTGACCAAAACTGAACCTGCCCTTCCTCATCAAATCCTCCCAACCCATTTTCTCTTTTTACCTCCTATTTACTAAAGCTAGACCAGATTCCCTGTGGCACGTATTCTCCCCACAGTTAGAAATGACTGACAGCTTTAGTTCTTCCTCTGTTCAGTGCTGCGATATTCTGTACAAGCTGCTTATGTGTAGTCCCTTTTCAAGCCCTAAGTCTTATCTTCTGTTTGTTTGTTTTGGTTTTGGAGACAGGGTTTTGCTGTAGCTATCAAGCCTGTCCTGGACCTAGTTCTTGTAGACCAGGCTGGCCTCGAACTCACAGAGATTCACCTGCCTCTGCCTCCCAAGTGCTGGGATTAAAGGCATGTGTGTGCCACCACTGCCCATCTCAAAGTCTTATCTTATAAACCCTATTGCAGGCTACAGAGAGGTTTCGGTAGTTAAGAGCATTAGCTACTCTCTCAGAGAACTGGGGTTCAATTCCCAGCACCCACATGGCAGTTCACAACTGTCTGTAACTGCAATTCTAAAGCATCTGGCACCCTCATACAGACATACATGCAGACAAAATACCAATGCACATACACACACACACACAAAAATCTTTTAGGAAAAGCCATAAATCTTAATAAATAAAACAATGAACACTAAATACAGGGTCTGATATACTCAGATGGTAGGTGCTCGGGCTACTATTCTTAAAGAAATGTCCAAGTTGTAAAATTTGATTCCACTGATGCCAACATTTAAAGCAAACAGTCACTATTTATCCTGCCCTCCCTTTAGGTCTTCATCAAGCATGGCCTGCTAATCCAAGTAACATGTTAAGGCTCACATGGAAATGGGACCTGTATTAATGAAGTTAACAGTATCAGAGAGCTAACACTAGTTCAAAGCTTCACTGTGCTTCCAAAAAGTCAAGGTATTTATCAAGCAAATAAGAATAAAGATGACTACAAGAGTCTCAATCCCAAGGGAAAATGATAATGTCAAAAGTCCTACCAGGGGCTAGGGGCTAAAGAGATGGCTCAGCAGGCAAGAGCACTTACCATCCTTGTAGCAGACCTGCCTTCAGTTCCTGGCATACACATGGCATATACACAAAAACCCATGCAAAAGAAAGAAAAGAAGTAGTAGTGGCCAGGCAGTGGTGGCACACACCTTTAATTCCAGCACTTGGACCTCTATGAGTTCGGGGCCAGCCTGGTCTACAGAGCAAGTTCCAGGACAGGTTCCAAAGCTACACAGGGAAGACCTGTCTCAAAAAACCAAAACAGAAAAGAGATAAAAGAGAGAGAGAAAAGAGGAAAAAAGTAGTAGTGGCATGTGCCTTTAATCCCTGCATTCAGGAGGCAAAGGCAGGCAGATCTCTAAAGCCAGGGCTACATAGTGAGACCCTGTCTCAAATAATGATGATGATGACAATGTAATGAAGAGGAGACTGTGATGATGATGACTGGGGCTGGGAGGAGGAGACGTAGGTAGCAGACAGCTCGAGAGTTAGGACCAGAGCTCAGTTCCCTGCACCTACAGGCAGCTCACAAAAACCTTGTAAATTTACTTCAAGAGAATACAATGCGAGGGACCAGGCATGCATATGGTACAGATACATACACACGGGCATTCACATTCTAACTCTTAGAAAAAGAGGGAAAAAAAACTGTCACTGCTTTTGAGTCAGAATGAATAGTTACAATCCCAACCATTCTATTCATGGAAACAGTACAGACCTTTTTATGTTTTTGTTTTTAATGAACACTTGCATTTTGCCTACATGTCTGTATGAGAGTGTTGGGGCCCCTGGAACTGGAGTTACAGACAGTTGTGAACTGCATGTAGGTGCTGGGAATTGAACCAGGATCCTTTGGAAGAGCAAGCAGTACTTTTATCCACTGAGTCATCTCTCCAGCCTGAAAGAGTACAGTCTTATACTACTCTATAAATAATAAAACAGCCGGGAATGGTGGCGCATGCCTTTAATCCCAGCACTTGGGAGGCAGAGGCAAGCGGATCTCTGTGAGTTCGAACCACATAGAAACCCTGCCTCAAAAAAAACAAAAAACAAAACCAAAAAAAAGAAAGAAAGAAAGAAAGAAAGAAAGAAAATAAAAAAAAAAACCAAACTTAAAGGGGGATAAAATGTACAACTGACTGTTAATTATAATGCAAGTCCCTAAATTTTAGTAGGTTTTCAATGGGGATATGATCATTTCAGTTCTAAAAGACAATTTAACTGAAACCACAGTGACACAGTGGGCTGTGTTTCTTTATTTCTTTGAAAGTTAATTAAGTACCATATTATTAAAATATTCAGGAAGAACTGACAAACTAGTAAACACTATCTTTAAGAAGCCCATGTTTTAATCTTATGTCAGTCTTAAGCCTAAGAAACTCCCTGAAAGGGCACAAATATTCGACACAACGTTGTCTCCATACATTTATCACTTAGAAAAGGTATCAAGTATTTTATTATTTTATTCTACATTATATACAGGTCATAAAAGGCCACAGCAGTTTTTCAACATATAAACCCTTTAAAAGTAGAGGGCACTATGAAAGATAGACAAGTATCAAAATGAAGTCCAGTAATGAGGGCGTATACTCAGTGCAGTATTTCTGAGGAAATAACAGCGTAGACACCGACCACCCACATTGAGTTTACAACTATTCTGTAGTTCTTTGCGACTCTAGTCATTTATGGCGCCACATGAGAGCTTCCCACTGCCACCGCCGGGGACAGAGAAGTAAGCAATGGAGACTCTATTGCAAGTTATTTCACTTGAAGCTCTCCTTTTTTGAGGAATTTTCTTAGTATAGTTTAGTAGCTTCAAATTCTCAAGCACGTAATACTGTACTGTTCTTGAATAATAACTCAAAAAACATTAGTTTCCACTCTGAAAATACAATCTTTAAACATATAACTGGTATCAGCAGATCAATATAAAAAAATACAGTACCAAGCTACACTGGTATATTTCCATATTAAGAACTTCAAAATATACTTATCACTGAGACCATAGTCCTTGCATTAATTTTCAGTCCACTATGAACAATTATCTGCTGCATGTAAACATGTCTAAATAACTATAGATAAAATACAATCATAAATTTCTGTAAAAGATAATAAAATATCTTCTTTAAAAAAACAAAACAATAATAAGCTATTACTGCATTGTTTCCAATTTTATGAAAATGGAACAACCATATGGTTGTTTCCAGTCCTGAGTTCATTTGTAATAAAAATGGCCCTAGTTCCTGGTTAAAGTCAGCAACCAATTCTTTCTCTTCAAAAGATGTCTTCTGGTACATTAGGCAACATCTGGATTAGGTGGTATTCTGTCCATTAATAAAATTATAGACCAGAAACTGACCAGTGCCACAGTACTGTGTTGCAAACAACTTTCCATCAGGAGTGGGATCTGAGAAAGCAATTTCTTCTTTACTCAAATATGAGCCATAAATAAAGTTACTCCTATTGGGAAAAAAAAAGGAAGGGTGGGGAAAAGAGGGGAAGATTAAAAATTAATCTTTCTGTTCACTGAAACTGAACAACCTATCAAATTCATTTAGACAAGAAAGACTAAAGCAATGCTATGTTATTCTAAAAAACAAAATACCTGTTGGTCTTAAATATTATAATTTTTAATATAATTATTAAATAAAGTAGGAAGACTTTTAGAAAAGTAATAATTATAAAAAATGTTTGTCCAACATCATGTCATAAAGTACTCAACAACTGAGAGTTGAAGAACTTCTCAATCAAGGTATCAAGAAACATGAATTCACAGTGAAAGACTATTTCTCAGATCAGGAAAAAGGTATGTCTGTCCCCTTCCCTGCAATAACACCACCAACAACTCTTACCAGCATAAACCAGAGAAGACATAAACATCCCAATGAGAATGAAAGAAAGAAAAAAAGCTCTTTCTTTGGAAGATGATATAATCTTACAAAGAGGAAATTCTGAGGGATTTACCAAAAGACCGGTTAAAATTTAGTAAATGATCTAGGGAGTTAGAGAAATGGCTCAGTGGCTAAGAGGACTGGTTGGTTGCGCATCCAGAGGTCCTGAGTTCAATTTCCAGCAACCACATGGTGGCTCACAACCATCCATAACGAGTCTGGTGCCCTCTTCTGGCCTGCAGGTACACATGCAGGCAGAAAACTATACATAATAAATAAACAAATAAATTTAGTAAATGATCTGAAGACTCAGATTGATATTCAACTGTGAACTGTATTAGCTATACTGAAAAATGGACAGTCCAAACATAAACCTTGAAAACAACCAATCTCTAACACTAAGATGAGCACAATGCTTAGGAAAATAATTACCAAAAAAAAAAAAAACACCTGTAAGCTAAAAACGATAAAATATTATTTAAATAAAAACCTAATAAAGAGACACCCATGTTTAAAAGTCAGAAAACTCAATACTATTAAAGTGTTATTACTGCAGAAACTGACCCATAGCTAGTTAGTTTCCTTGGATAAAATGGTAAGCTGATCGTAAAATTCACAAGGAAATAAAAAGGATACTGAAGAGTCAAAACATAAAAGAAAAAGAAAAAAAAGAAGAAAAAGTCTGAAGGATTCATATATTTTCTTTTCCAAATATACCACACAAAGCTCTAGCACTCAATACTGACATAAGCATAGACACACAGAACACGGAACAGACAGACATGTCTAGAGAGAAACCTTTACAAGTATGCCGAGAACAGGAACTATTCAGAGGAGAGTGCAGTCCTTGTAACAAATGGTGGGAGAATAAGATATCCACATGCCAAAAGTATATTTGCATGTTGTTATCACTTCTCATACAATAATAAAATCCAATAGAGCCACAGCGTAAGTATAAAACTAAACTAGAAGGATAAACATGAATCTTTGGGGCCATGCATTAGACAATGGATTTTAAAATATGACAAAAGGAACAAAAGAAAAAAAAGCATGAAGTAGATTTCATCAAAATGAAGTGTGTGTCAAAGAACACATTCAGATATAGTGTATGATCCTAACATCTGGGAAATGAGGAGACCAAAGGCTTTTAACCCCAGCACTTGGGAGGCAGACAGATCTCTGTGAGTTCAAAGTTAGCCAGGTCTACAGAACAAATGCCAGGAAAGCCAGAGCTGTCACACAGAGAAACCCTATCTCAAAAAACAAACAACAACAGCAAAAAAGCTGACACAGGCTTGAATAGGTTCCTTTCTTTTTTTTCATACATGTCTGGTCAAAGAGAAAGAGAGACAGAGAGAACTGAGAACATATTTGTTGTTTTGCCTAGACTGGCTGACCATGAGTTCCTGGGCTCTGGGTTCTGGGTCTCTCCAGCACTTAGCACTGGAATTATAGACACATGCCACCTTATCATGCATTACACAGGTCCTAGGGATCTGAACTTAAGTATTCATGGTTACACAAAAACTTCATCAACTGAGACGTTTTCCAGCCTCTCAATAGGTTTTTCTCCTAAAGACGATGAAGTGAAGAACTTGGAGCCCTTATATATTGCTGGTTGGGTTCTAAAATGGTGGCAGATGCTACAGAAGAGAGTTCAGCAGTTTCTCAAAACATTAAATTCATCAGTACTACAAGATTCCCAATTATACACCTAAGTATACACTCTCAAAATTATACACGTCCACACAAACACTGGTGTATAAATGGTCATAGCAATACTATCCATGAATGTCAGTAAGCAGAAACACACCAAATGTAAACAGATGAAAGAACAAATAATTCTACTCTACTATTGGTAATCATAAAAAAGCAATTTATTTTTTAATGTTTTAAAAAGCAGGATTGGGAAGATAGCTTAGTTGGTAATGGGCATGCACAAGGACCTGAGTTCAATGACCAGAACCCACATTTTAAAAAAGCTTGTGGGCTTGTGATCCTAGCACTACATGGTGGAGACTGGCTCATGGCTGTCCAGCCTCACCTGCTGGGTGAGTTCCAAGCCAGTGAGAGATCCTGTCTCAAAAGCCAAGAAGGACAGCACTGGAGAAGCGACACCGAAGACTGTCCTCTGGTTGCCGCACAGAGACACATACATATACAGCACACGCACACACACACAAGCAATAGACAGATCCATGCTACCACACTGATGATACTTAGAATTCCACTTGTATGAACTGTTCAGTATAGAAATGTACATTGATACAGAGTAGGCTGGTGGCTACCAGCCAGCAACTAGAGATACGTTGAGTTAGGTTTAGGGATGGAGAGGGTGGGGAGTAGAAATGCTCTAGGTCAGGTGATAGTTATATATGTTTTGAGTATATTAAACTCACTGAATGGCAACTAGATGGATTTAGGGTGTAATTCTCAAGCCCGCTGGCAGCATCTTTATACCGTCAGAAGGGACAGTAAGTGAAGAAGCAAAGGCTACGCACCCTAACAGGGAGCTCACTCACTGTCGTAAGACTAATTACAACACTGCTGTTTCCATGGTTTGAACAAAAGCTACCTACATGACTTGCTACAAGATTTAAAGGATGGAAAATAAATCCTCTCACTCCTCTAGGACTATTTGTGTTTAATCATCTTGTTTCCCAGGCTTCGCACTAAAAGGACTGGAAACAGAACAGTTGTGAGTTCATTAACCACACACATAGTAAGGAGCTAAGGCCCACCTGTAACAGCAATGGTTATTTTAAAACCTATTCCCATAGGAAACAGTTCACAGTCTATAAATAAACAATAAACTGACCTAAAAAACCAATTTTTTAAGCACTACTGATTGAACCTGGGGCCTGATACTTGGTGGGCAAGTGCTCTACCACTCTGACCCCAAAACCTTTTATGGATGATTAATTTTAACCTTCATTTTATCCTTTATCTAAGGGACTTTATTGGAAGAAAAAAGTCTGATGCTTTTGTGTTTCTGATAAACAACCACAGGATAATAGAAAAATAAACGACACCGAAGAGAATATAAAATAATACTTAAAAACTTTTAAACATTTATTATTAGCATATGCATGTGTATGCCTTTGCGTGCATGTGTGTGTGTGTGTGTGTGTGTGTGAATGCCTGTGCTATAATGTTTGTACAGAGAGGTCATATAACTCAGTGGAGTTGGCTCTGTCCTCCTACCTTTATGTGGTTTGAGAGATTGAAATCAGTTTTTTTCAATCAGCACCTTTACCTGTAGAATCATGTCACTGCCTCCCCCACACCAAAAAAAAACCCTTTTTTTTCTTTCTAGACAGGATTTATCTGTAGCTTTGAAGCCTGTCTTGGAACTCGCTCTGTAGACCAGACTGGCCTCGAATTCATAGAGATCTGCCTGCCTCTGCCTCCAGAGTGCTGGAATTAAAGACATGTGCCACCACTGCTGGCCAAAAAGAATATTAAAACAATTTTCTCTAAAAGTTGACTTCCCAAAACATTGTCTATATATATTTCTCTGGTTTTGTTTAGAAATCTCTAAGAGTGAACACAGGTTGAACTATGTTACATTGGCCTAATGTCACAGTTTTAAATAAAAGTTTAATGTTTCATCTATTATTAGACATTTTTCTCTTCAGATTAAACAAGATTTACAGATCTAGTATATTTATACAAAATTTATAGTTAATACAAAGAAAACTCATACAGTTATGATTAAGTATCAATCTTTAAACTAAAACTCTAAACTACTGCAAATGACTTGAGTTACACATTACCTTAGGCATTCAATCATGCGAGAAGCTATTTTCTTCCGCCGCATCATGCTAAACACCCATATTCGACTGATCCCACAGATTGCAGGCTCTGGCAATGTTGAGCAGCACCAGGCTTTTTGTCTTTCAAACCGAACCTTTTCTTCTTCTGACCTGATAACTGGAAGTTTCTCTTCTATAACTCGATAGCCCTATATATGTCAAAAACAGGAAGGGAAATAAAGGTGGCAGTTGTCTAGTGTAAATCGGGCTGAGGTCTTGACTACATTTGTCTGGCTGCTTAACAAATTAGCAGATCACTTAACAATCTGGGTTTACTTCCATTCTGACTCAACTCATAATAAGATCATATAATTAAGTACATCTACTATTTAAATGAGACATTTAACAAGGATTTTGACATCCAAACTGAACACCACAGGAATGGAATGTGTTTTTCCCTACCATCTGCTTTCTAAGCAGCAAAAGTACATGTTAAACCAGACAACTGTGGCACACGCCTTTAATCCCAGCACTAGGGAGGCAGAGGCAGGCAGATCTCTGTAAATTGGAGGCTAGTCTAGTCTACATAGTGAGTTCTAGGATAGCCAGGGCTACACAGAGAAACCCTGCCTCAAGAAACAAAAGAAAACAAAAAAAAACCAAACAAACAAACAAAAACAGTTGGGCAGTGGTGGTGCACAACTTTAATCCCAGAACTCAGGAGGCAGAGACTGGCGGATCTCTGAGAGTTCGAGGCCAGCCTAGTCTACAGAGCAAGTTCCAGGACAGAATCCAAAGCTACACCAGAGAAAAGCTGCCTCACAAAACCAAACCAAAGAAAAGAAAGCGAGGGGAGGAGAGGAAGAGAAGAACATATTCTGAGCTCAACAGTCACAGTGATTGTTCTTGTACTGCACACATATGAACTAAGAACAGGAAGAGAAGGGAAATTAAGAAAGCCTTTTCTGGGAGCTGTAGACAGCTTAGTGGTTTAGAGCACTGGTCCTGAGTTCAATTCCCAGCAACCACTTGGTAGCTCACACCATCTATAGTGAGATCTGATGTTCCCTTCTGGCATAAATTCGTACACACAGACAGAACACACATACACATAAAATAAATAAACCTTTTTTTAAAAAAAATTTTCCTTTGATTTATTGAGATTCTCTGATCTCAGTAAGTAACTGTATTTTGTCAAAAAGGACATGACCAGTCTCCTAAAAATACAAAGATAAAACTTGAAATAAAACTAGAAAACAAAAATTAAGAGTGATACATGCCTTCAATCCCAACAACTGGAAGGCAGAGGCACGAAGATTCTTTGAGATCCAGACTAGCCAATGCAATAAAGAGACTTTGTTTCAAAAGAACAAAAGGAGTGGGGGCACTTGACAGATGGCTCAATGGTTGAGTTTGTCTTGCAGGGGATTTGAGTTCAGTACCCAAAATCCAAATGGTGGCTTACTACTATCTGTACCCTCTTCAGAACTCCACAGGCACCAGGCACACACAAAAAATAGGATCATGCATAAAGGCAAAATACTCAAGCTGGCCCATGCCTTTAATTCCAGCATTAGGAAGGCAGAGGCAGGCAGGCAAATCTCTATGAGTCCAAGGTCAGTCTGGTCTACAAAGTGAGTTCCATGACAGCTAAAGTTGTTACACAGAGAAATCCTGTCTTGAAAAACCAAAAGAAAGGAGGGGGAGCGAAGTATAGCACAAAGTTTCTGTCCTGCCTGGTTCCACAGCCATTCAGTCCCAAAGAAACATACAGAGGCTTATTATTAACTATAAACTGTTTGGCCTGTTAGCTCAGGCTTATTATTAACTAGCTCTTACAACTTAAATTAACCCACGTGGCTTGGCACGTTTTCTCAGTAAGGCATTCTCATCTTGCTTCCTCTGCATCTGGCTGGTGACTGTATCTCTTCCCAAATTCTTCCTCCCAAATTCTCCTAGTCTGGTTGCCCTGCCTATATCTCCTGCCTGACTACTAGCCAATCAGCATTTTATTAAACTAATATGAGTGACAAATCTTTACAGTGTATAAGAGTATTATCCCACAGTGAGAGAGTGACAGAACAAATGAGTGTGGCAGAATTACAATAAAATTGTATTTACAAAAACAGCCAGGCATGGTAGCACATGCTATCAATCTCAAAGAGTCTCTTTCTGAGTCTCTTTGAGACTGAAGCCAGCCTGGTCTATATAGTGAGCTCCAAGACAGCCAGGGTTACATAGGAAGACACTGCCTTGGAAAAAAAAAAAAAGTTTTATAAAAGTAGGCGATGAGCTGGGCATGCTGGCATACAACTGTAATCCCAGAACTCAGGAGGGGGTGGCAGAGAGCAACCTTAGCTACTGAGCAACTTCAAGGTAGGACTATGTGAGAGCCTAATTTTGTATACTATATCCACTATACCTTGCCTTTAACTCAAGTGCTAGAAGGATCAATTGAGAGAGATATTAGTATACAGCACAAAACTTCTGAAGCTCTAACAGTACTCTTAATTCTATACCTTCCATCTCACTGATTTGAAAAACTAATTCCTGTCAAGTATGGTATGCACACCATTAATTCTAGTATTCAAAGGATAAAGTAGGTGGATCTCTGAATTTAGGCTACATACTGAGACCCTGGGGAAAAGGGGAGGAAGAAAGGGAGGGAGGGAAATAATAAAGAAAGGAAGACAGACTAATTCCCACCTGGGTGTGGTGGTATATAACTCCAGCACTCAGGAGGATTCCAAATTTGAGGACAGCCTGAGCTACATAGTGATTTCCAGGCCAGGCTGTATTACACAGAGGGACTATGTCTCAAAAAAGAAAAGAAAACCAAAGAAAAGAAAAATCAATTCCTGCACAAGATACAACTCTATTATAGTGCAGAATTACATTATATCCTTATCTGAAATGTAGATAGATTTATTAGGATATTATTTAGTATTACATAGTAATGAGCTAATTTAGATATCAAACTATTTCTAAGCACTCTTTAGAAGTCACTTACCCACTGGATGTGTTCTGCAATCAAGCAACCGACTACTTTTTTGTCATTAGAAATAAAGAGAAGAGTTTTAGTTCTGGAATAGCACATTAATGGAGCCTGTTGGAAACCCAAATCGTTGTCAACCATCTCTCTAATTTCATCAACCTGCCAAGTAAAGAACGAGACTTTTTTTAAAACAAAGAAAACATTGTATACAGGTTTAAAAAAAACATTCAATAAGATGAATATATTATTCCTAACCAAATACTCTCTAAGGAATTTTTGGTTTCTGAGACAGAAGTTCTGTTACTTTGTTATGTGCCTCTGGCTGTCCTGGTGCTCAATAAGTAGCCCAGGCTGGCCTTGAACTAGTGGCAATTGTTCTGCCTCAGTCTCCTGAATACTGAAATCATGGGTGTGTGCCACCATACAATATAGTTATAACTAAAAGGCTCGAACTCTTTGACATGTCTGTACTGATTATTAACTCACTGATTTTTAAGCATTGGAAGCAACTTGGCAGAAAAAGGGAAGAAACAGAGGTGTTGCCAACCCTAATGGTCTAGAAAACAAGGGTGAGCGGGAGTGCCAGCACTAAGCATGTGAGAGCACTGAGACTTCCTCAGGAGGAACACAATGTGTCTAAATGGCTAGAGCACACTGAATCTTAGCCAGCAAGACACTGTCCACCCCAAGTTTTAGTTAGAACTCTCAACAGTAAAATGAAAGGAAGAGAAGAAAGAAATTCATGTTCACTATCTGGCAAGCATCTAAAAATGAGACACACCAAGAACTATAGTCATTTCAATCCAATATCCCTTGGAGTATTATAGTTCTTCATTTTGTATGTGAAAGAAACGAACTCAAAAGTGACATAATTTATGTCAAACACTAAACATCTAGAATATCATGGACCAGAGGTCTGAACCTCAAACATTAACATGGCATCAAATGCTTCTTCCAAGTTCAAGCTCTTTGTAGGCACTGAAAAAAAAATAACAATTATAAGACAGGTGGTGGTGGTATATGCCTTTAATACCAGCACTAGGGAGGCAGAGACAAGCAGAACTCTGTGAGTTCAAGGCCAGCCTGGTCTACAGAGCAAGTTCTAGGACAGGCTCCAAAGCTACACAGAGAAACCCTATTTCAAAAAACCCAAAAGAAAAATCACAAATCTACAGGCACTTGCACACTAATTCCTTCTCCAGTTTAAAGAACATAAATTGCCAGGTTGATTGCATATCCCTTTAATCCCAGCACTTGCAAGGCAGGCAAATTTCTCCTAGTCTGGAGCCAGTTTGGTCAATTTAAAAAGCATGTTCCAGGTCAAGCAGGCTGGCCAGTGAGACCCCATCTGGGGGCAGGGGTGGGGCACACAACATAAGTTGCAAATGTTCCATCTAATAACTATTCATGTCACTGAACATTAAGTGCAAATAACCTCTAGAGTGGTTCATATTCTTGCTTCTCTCGTACACACCAGATTGTGCATTCCTTAGTCAATGATGAAAACTCACCCCCTCACAATTTCTGAAATTTTATATTTTATAAGAGCATCTATAGACATTTGATTCTGGGGAAAACCAAACTGAATGCTAGAAAAAGGAAGGCGGAGTAGGGAGAAGCCATGTAGCCCCGCTGGAGAAAGATGCCAGAACTTTATCCAGTAAGCCACAGCCTTGTGGCGATACACAGATTAATGGAGATGGGCTAGTTTAGGACATAAGAGAGAGAAATATGTCTGAGCTATGGGCTCAGTATTGCAAATAATATGGTTTCTGAGTGACTATTTCAGGGCTAAGCTGGGAACAAACAAGCGGGCTCCTACTACAAATTGGTGCACCAATGTGGTTGACTAAATCCATGTAAAACGTGAGAAAGCTTAAAAAATAATTCTAGACACAAAAAGAACAGAGTTAAACGCAGCTTTTAGGTAGCCAGCATTTTGCTGGCAGTGTGCCACAGCTCCTTTAAGAGATGTCTTCCTGATTCAGCCGTAGCAGAAAAACAAGCTGCACAGTTCTGAAGTGGTGGCTTTCCTGGGCCTGGGCACACTTACACAGTGGGCACACTTACACAGTGGGCACACTTACACAGTGGGCACA